AAGTCTCCCCATGTGGCACCCCAAGGCTCTTGCTCAATTTTTCTATTATTTTTTGTGAAACCTCCTTCTGCAGTGATACAGGCTGAGCATCCCTGATCTAAACATCTGAAATCCAAAATGCTCCAAAGTCTGAAACTTTTTGAGTGCTGACATGACACCAGAAGCAGAAAAGTCCACACCCGACGTTATGTAAGTGGCTGCAATCAAAATGCAGGCATGCTCAAAAATATTGTGTAAATGACCTGTCGGCCAATGTGTGTCTTAGGTGTCTCTTACAAATAAATACTGTGCCTTGATTATGGTGCCCCCCAAGATATTCTGTTATGGACGTGTAAGCATTCCCACACAAACAGCCCAAAATCTGAAATATTTCCAGTCCCAGTCGTATCAGGTAAGGGACACTTGATTTGTAACTCCATCGAATTGTAGAGTTTTTCTTTTCTCCCCAAACCTGGGCTCCTCTGTCCATTTTACTATGATTTCAGCATTAAAGCTCATCTCTGCCCGATATCAAAAGTTCAATGAAAATAATATGTATAAGAATGCATAAGATGGGAGGTTTGATATACTTGAGTGGGATTTTGATGTTTAATGCAAAGAATGTATTTTTACTTAGAAAAACATCTTGCATGGGGTCCAGTCTTGCCATAACCTAAAGTAAACAAGATCTAAAACTAGGATGATCATGTTATAGTTCACAAGGCTAACAGAAGGCCTACTGTTATTCCCCAATGAGGAAGCAGGGATGCAGAGCTTGGTTACCTTACCTCAGGTCACCTCTGCAGTGGCAGTGAAGCCTGGAATTGAACTCAAGGCTTCTGATTCCTATGCACATGGTATTTGTGAAGATATGGAACCTGGGAGAAACTTGTTCCTTTCTCTATTCTATATTTCTCCCCATACTTGGAAGGGACGCTCTATTTTATCCTGCCCAGCCTAATACGCAGTGCTCCTGTGGAGCTACTCAGGGATCAGCTGTTTCCAGGGGGACAAGACTGGGCAGGGCAGTATCAGAAAACTTTCTCTTTACAGTTTCCTTCTCTCATTTCCTAACATCCTGAGATCAAATCCCAGCTCAGTTCTTGAGTAGCACATCCTGGGAAGCTTAGTTTAGCTTCGTCAAGCTTTCACTTATTTAAAAATTATTTTCATTTCTAGAAGCCTCTCTTTCAAAAGATTACTGTGGCAATTAAGCCCATTGGATGAGCTCACAGGGAATAACCCAAGAACTGCTTCATCATTGCTTTGTCAAGATTGCAAAGTCCTCTCTCTGTGCACCACCCAGTGCAGCACACGCACAGAAAAACAACAGTACTTCCCTAAACACTGCAACTAGCTGTGCCATTCAGCTTCCTGCTGCTGTGACAGATTGCCTCACACATCAATGTATAAAAGCAAGTGTTTATTCTGGGTCATGCTGTTAGAAGTTTCAATCCATGGTCATTTGGCCCTGTTGTTGATGGGCCTGTGACAGCACATTGCACCATGGTTGGAGGATAGGGCAGACAGGACTGCACAGCCATGGGGGCCAAGGAACTGATGAGGGAGAGAGAATGAGTGAGAGAGTGAGTGCAGAGAGGGGGACAGAAAAGGACAGAGAGGGAGAAAGAAAGGAAGGGCCAGGTTCCCTATATCGCCTTTAGAATCCAATTCCCAAAGGCCTGAATTATCCTTGATTCCCTTGCCTTCCCTTCCTTTCTTTTCTCTTGCCTCCCCTCCCCTCTCTACTCCTCTGTCTTCCCTTCCCTTCTTCTCTCCCTTTTCCTTCCCTCCATTAGGTTCCAGCTATTCCTCTACCTCCCAATAGTGCCAAAGGTTCACAATCAAACCTTTAACATATATGCCCTTGCGGGATGTCTAAAATCACATTATAGCACTAACAAAGATCCAGACTACCAGGAGCAGCTAGAAAAGATTCATCAGATGAGGTGTTCAAGTCTGAAACAGTAGAGACAGGTGGAATGTCATGGAGGGGAAGTGACAGTGTCCACATGGAAAGCATGGGACGTTTATTTCTCGATGCTCCCCAGGAGTTTAAGGAGGACCTACCAGGAGAGGCGGGGGATACTTGATTGGCACAAATGCAACCTTATATAAAACTTTTCAAAATATGAAGCACAGTTATCTAAGATTGGTGAAATATGTGAGGTTGTTTTGTGTCAATTCATTCCACACAGTGCTGTCCTAGAGTTGTCTACAGAATTGGGATGAATGATGTCAGTTACAGTCCAAGTCATTATCCTACTAACCTGGGGGTATAATTCAGAAAGGGGCAATAGAAATAATACAGTTGGAGGGACGGAGGACATTGCAATTCAAAAATAGCATAAACATGATGTTTGAAGCATCCTGCTCTATGCTGTGTGTGTGTGGATGTGACTCAGTATGTCCAAATCCCAGACCTATGACATAAAAAGGAGGAACAGGAACAGGGCTTGGAGATGCAGATGCTAGGAGTGGAGTAGCATACTGCTGCTCTGTGGGCATTTACAAGAAGTTTAGGATGCCAGGCAGAGGGCACAAATGAAAACGGGGCTTCAAGTAATATTGCAAAGAAAAGATGGCACTATGGTCTTCTAATTAATCACAAAAGTAAAAGCAAAAGAATGCAGATCCAAGAAGCTTCTTGGCACAAATAAAAAAAAAATCATCCCAGCTTTAAAAAAAGAACAGAGGAGCATTTGCTAGTTTTAGTGTTTTAGTAAATAGTTTGGTGCCACTGAAAGGGAATGGGGATTGCCAAGGAAGCTAAATGTCTCCTAGCCCACAGACCTGTCATTTCCTTAGGAGCAGGAACATTTGGGAAGCTTTCAGAAATGTGAAAGGGAATATGTGCTTTGTATGACTTTATTTTTACCATAGTTGAATAGGAAACTGCATATCTCACAGGGCTAAAGTCTTGGATAAACTGTTATTATTTCTATCCACTTCTTAGATGGCAGTAATGACTCACACCCTAGATATAGACGGATAAACAAACTTGGTTTCCACGGAAGTTGTGAAGCTCATCTGGCCCAGGGAGTAACCCCATTAGGTCAACATGTCTTTCATGGACCTTGGACTCTGGCAAGATCATAGGTATTTTCTCCCCGCATCTTCAAATTGCAGGGTGTAACAATTGATCATTCCTTTCTGAGCTTTTTTTGGAGAAATTTTACTTAAGATCTTGTACGCTTGATGCCTGTTGGCACATTCTAGCTCTGACCTATTAAGAAAAGGCAGCTTCTAGTAAAAGACAGAGATGGACATAAACTGTAAATTAGGTACCATGGAAAAGTGTAAACTAATCCTAGTTTGGTTCTTATGTGATGAGGAAGACACTGCGGATGGGCTTCAGCCTAGGATGCTGAACGCGGGTTCAGTGGAGCAATTGTAATGATTCGAGGGGCTGCAGGGAGACTGACTGGTTCGCACTGCCAGTCTCTTATGGCCCTAGGCTTCTACATCTGCTGAGTCGATCAGGCTCAGATCAAAATTAGCTATATGAAAAGAACTGCATGTATAACAAAACTATATGGGATTTTTCTTCTTATTCGCTAAGCAATGTAATGTAATAGCTGCATAGCATTTATATTGCATTAGATCTGATAGGTAATGTAGAAACAATTTAAAGTAGGTAGGAGTATGTGCACAGGTTATTTGTAAAAATGATTTATATAAAGCCATTTTATATAAGGGGATTAAACACCTATGGATATTGTATCCTTGGGAGGCCCTGGAACAATCACCCGTGGATGCAGAGGGATTATTACGCTGGAATTTTTGCAGGATAATGTATTTAAAACACATGTGTAGTTGACCACGACCTTAATTTTAAACAGCTATGGTTTCTAAGGTAAAGCAAGGATTTAAAAGGAAGTGACTATAACCTGAGGTAGTCCAAAGTTGCTCAGCCTACTTACATAAGAGTTGTAAACACAGTCTTCAAAACTTCTCCCCACTTGCCAAGTGGATGTAGTAGACACGAGCACCTTTCCAGGCACACGGGGAAAAGCAGCCAGCTCTCCAGGACAGGAAAGAATACAAGCAGCCAATACAGCACAGCTACACGCACACCCTTTAAGAACCTTAGCAACAACCGTCTGGCACAACTTTCTCTTCCATTTCTCTCAGACTCTACAGAGCAGAAAGCTAGAACCACGGGGTACTCTCTCACCCTTTTATAGAAACAGCTATCAAAATCTGTTTAAACCATCTGGGGTTTTTTTTGGCTGCTTTTCTTCCCAGTGTTTTTCTTTTACATTTTTTTCCTGACAACAACAACAACAAAAATGTGTTCTAAAAGAACCAAGATGCTATGACTAAAAATGCCAGAGGTATATATCCAGTTTATGAGACAAATTGCCTCCTAAAGAGGAGTTAGGTTTATCATGTGTGGAGAAAGGCAACGTTTCTACAAATATTATAGTTGCACTAAGAAAATAACCAACTACTTTCATTAAAATACAAGATTTGTATTTGCTCATGTAATTGAATTTAACGCTGCTGAAATTTCTCAAACTTGAAAGCTATTGAAGTTTAGACCATATTTATTTTACATGGAGGAAAATTACCTAAGAAATTTTCTCTTAGCTTATAGAGAACAGGTCTTTTGCTGACCTTAAACAGTCATGAGAACCACTGAATGAATTTACATAATACGTGGCACTGAGGAACACCTTTGGGGATAATTTTGTTTGGCTTTGAGAGGAAGTCTAGCTGGGCCAGTCAATGTTTATGGGAAGGCCCTGCTTATGACCTGTCTACCAGCCCTTTCCCATTTTGTATCCACTGTTTAAATACAAGTGCCTATGGAATGTGAAGCTATGTATGTTTTCACTCCCTCAAGTGGCTTTGCAGCCAATTTTTTCTTCTTCATACTAACTATATTATAGGTAGTAGCAAACTGTCTTACCTATTCCTATGATGTCTTACTAACTTTATAACTTTAGCAAAAGTTTACAAATGTCCCAACTCATATTTAAGATGTCACTAATATACTTTTCTTCTCTGTCTCTCACCTGGGTTCACCTTGGTTGATGGACATGTAAATCTCCCAAGAATTCTCCTCTGGGATGGCGCCATGTGGTATTAGTAAACTCACCCCTAAAACAGAAAAAGCCAGGAGATTATTCACAGATTTTTCCAATTGTTTGGAAGCAACCTGCTTGAGAACTTTATAGTTGCCAACAAAGAAAGACCTTCACATGGCCATTGTGAAATCCCAATCTTTGGAAAATTTACAAAGTCCAAAATAATGATAATGCTATTTGTAATACATGGGTTAAAAAAAGGAGCTTAGTATTCACCTGAGTGCTCAACTTAGCCTTTTTATTTATTTGTTTGTTTTCTGGTCCTGGGGATTGAACCCATACCTATATATTAGGCAAGTGCTCTATCACTGAGCTCTGTCCCTGGTGTAATTGGTGTTTTGGCTATTTTTAACCCTCCTGGTATAGTTAAGTTCTCTTAAAAGACTGGGTATCCTAAAATCAATGATTATTAAGCTTACCTGAATATATAGGAGTGTATCAACATATCAGTTAATTTGCTCCAGAATTTAAGTGTTATTTCCATTAACTTGCGAAAAGATTAATAGTTGAAGGATGTGCTATTTTTTTTTCCTTCAACTTGGTATAAAACTGTCTTGCAAAGTATGCTTCTGGAAGTATGCTGAAAGTGTGTTCAGAGGACTCCTGCACTTTTTTTTTTTTTTTTTAGGAAAATAGCAAAGGTAAACCTAGGCACCTTCTAGATAATTGTCTAACCAACACAGTCTTAACTTTGCAAATAGAATGTGGGAATAGTTAACACCAAAGGTGAGGTAGTGATATTAAATTCAATGTCGAATAAAAATCTCAGCCACCTTGCTTTAGTAAAATATCATGAAGAGAGAGAAGACACAGAAAGCTACAATGTACTCTCCTTTCTTTTTCTTCAGTGCCATGAAAAATGCACATCACTTTGGCCAAGAGAGACACTTGGTGAGATCTGGGATTCTCTTTAATGTTGCCTCTTTTTTTATAAAGGCCAATAAAATACTGAAACAGTAAGTTACTGACAAAATAAAATCTCACGGCATCTTCCTATATTTTGAATAATGTAGTGCTCATCTTCCACTTTCTCATTAAAGTTAATCACACAGAAAACTTTCAAGTTATTAATAACAATTTAAATATAAAGATGACAGGTTTTCCAGGTATCCTCCAATGTCTGTTAACAGGTGTAGAGTCAGAGAATGCAAGACTTACTGTAACACAAGTTACTTGTGATTTATGTTATAAGCGTTGTTCAGGAACATGTTAGTTATCATTAACAACTTTCGCTAGCTCTAAGAAGGAGAGACATTTAAACCTTGCTCACTGCTTTTTAGGAAGTTCATGTCTATGCTGGACCTTCATGTCAATTGTAGGAGAAATCAAGGGCCACGCTTAAGGGCCTTCCACAGGTACCTCCTTCCATGCTCCATTCTTTCTTAAGTCCAGTTGCCATTGGAGTGGCCTCCACTGCATCCTTCCCTACTGTTGGACACTCACTGTAAAGCAGAGCTTACCCTGTGTCTGGGAGGCAGCCTGAGCACATACCCTTATCATTCTGTCTCGTTTTAGTTTGCCATAACACCTCCCCTCTGCTGCCTGCCTTTTAGGCTCTCTAGGCCATGAAGACGAAGAGACACACAGATCCTGTCCTTCGTGTATAGAGTGCAGTAGGCCATCAGCAAGCAACAATGCCTGCTACTTCAACAACAGTAGTGCTTGCCAGTTACAAAGTGGAAACCCAGTAAACATATGAATATACAAACAATGGAACAGATACAATTCAACATTCTCAGTGGCAAGGCTGGGCTTAAAGTCTTGTTAATCTTCTGTAAATTGTCACATCCTAATGCTCTACTTCTGGATCCAAATATCTTCTGGAAGAAATATTTTAAGAGGAATTTTGAGGGAGGACAGTTGCAGAATGTGTCACATTTTATTCCTTTCAAGTTGGCTAGATTCTCTGTGTTAATACTGAACCATTATTTATGATATTCCTGAATTCAACTTGAATCCATAGGATCAGTGAGGCCTTAAACTACTTTCCTCTCTCCTTTGCTCAGAAGTGCTATTATTAGCTTTCAAGCATACTTCCCTCCTGCAACCTAAACATGCATATTATCTGTGGAGACTAAAGAAGTCAATCATGAAGGGTGGTAGGGTTGGGCTGGTGTCAAATGATATATTATGAAGAATGAGGGGCTCTGTAGGAAAGCTTTATGCCTGTGGTCTCTTAAAGAAATATCCATTTTCAATATGTCATTCGTCAGTTATCTCTGATTAAAGAGAAATGCACACCCCCCCAAACTCCACCTGCTACTCTGGCAGTCTTTTATTTGATATGACAACAGAACCACCTGTCTGAGTTTCCTGTTTCATATTTTACATAATAAATGATTTCTAGAGCACACATATGACAAGTCGGGATGGATGGTATTAGAGGAATCTAATTTCTATGCTTTGCTTTCTTTACACTTCAGTTCCCCAGGGCATATTTTGCATTTATGTCCTGCAAAGTAACAGGAAATATGTTCCAATCCCCACACTTATTTTCTCCCTAATTCATTCACAGTAAACAGCTTCAATCTTATCCACTGCATCTTGTCAGAAGCTTTGAAAATACCCCTTCCACAGAGGAACTCTGCAAGAGTCACTAACAGTGTTATCAGGGTTTTAGTTTTCAAGCAGATTACTTCTCAGGTCAGAGGAGGAGAAAAAGAAAAATCTGTCCCATTACAATTTCACCTCCTTGCTTTCTTGGGTGAACACAAAACAAACACAATGAATGGATAGGTCTTGGCTCTTCTTCAACATGCACAAAAAGTGTATGCACACGCGCGCGCGCACACACACACACACACTCACACACAATACACACACACACACACACTCACACACAATACACACACACACACACACACACATACATGCATGCACACTGACAAATGAGAAGAGAGTGGGTGCTGAAACCATGTAACCAATTGACAATGATAGGCTCATAAGAGTCAAGCCTGTAAGTGCTATATATGGCAGCTTGATTTATCTGTATTGAGCCTCCTATCTGCCAGTTATCAAAGCTCCAGGGCCACAACCCTGATCACTGCCAATTGCCCACAGGAGACATTACATTTCACATAGAACCCTCATATGCATTTGAAGCCAGATCTCAAATGATTCAAAGTAGATTTGAAGAACTGAAGACCTATGAAAATATAATCACTATTCGAGCTATCGGAGGGTTATTTGTAAAAATCAAATTTATTTAAAAATGATGTTTTAAAGGAAGCAATTGATCTGGGAGATAAAAAGAAAAATATTCATCAATTTAAGACCAAGTTCAACTTCAAGTCAGTAGACTCCCACTGGAGGGGTCTGTGGGCTAAAATATTAGCCTCAGGCTAATCCTATTACAAGTTTTATCTTATAAGATAAAACTTTAGTTAACTCTGCCTTCTAAACAAACATGTGGAGACTCTCCTGTGGATCCTCTGGCTGCAGGCTAGCCTGTTATTTTATGACACTAACAGACAACAGCAGATCTTGCCTCTCTCAGGAGCCAGTGGGGCACTATCTGATTTTGCATACTACCTGCTTCCTATTGCTTAGAACTCTGAGGAGAAACTGCCCTCTTCTGCTACTTATCTAAAGCTGAGGAAGTAATGCAAGGTTAACTCACAGATACAATATCCATTAAAAAGTGATCTGGACTTGACATCTGAGAGCTTCCCATTACCAGAGCAAGGACATCTTCTGGCACAGTGGAGGAAAGAATGTGTGAGAACAAGAAAGGTACTCACAACATAGCCCTGGAACAAAGCTCTAATTCCAAAGAGCCACATCATGATGATTCCTTACCACTGCTCTCCACAAAGTAGCATTTCTAGCGAAGTCTATGGCCTAGGAAAGGTAAGTTACTGGTGCAATTTGAATGCTATTTTACTGCATACTCAGCTTAGGATGTAAACCACACTTGTGTATCAACTTGGTTCTTGTCAGTCATGTCAAAAAATGTTGTGGAGCTTCCTGATCACATTCTAGGTAATATATTTCAAGGGTCCTAAACCTTGGGGTCCTCCTAGACCTTCTGAATGAATATGGGTATCAGTCCTTCCAGGGCGCATTCTGTTCTAAGATGAAGATGGCAAGTCTGGTTACAGGATTGGCTCTGGTTTGCAGTGCACATCAAGTAGGTGCTGAAGGCATGACATTTGCTGTTCTGACAGGGAGTGGTAGGCATAACGTGAACCCAACAAGCTGTAATCAGTCAAGTAAAGGAAAGGTATTTAAACAAATGCAGGAGAATGCACAATATACATTCACCACCTACCTGTATTTGGCATGACTAAGCGCCCCCCCAAGTGGCCAAAGACACCAGTGGTCCTCAGTTCTGTCCTTGTGGGGAGAGATGAAAGGTTTTGGATGTAGGGCGTTTTGTTTCTGGGATGCACGGTACTAAAGCCACGGTTGTTTCCATGGGGAAAGGTTCCCGAGTGACTCTTGCCATGGTACTCGGCTCGCTCAGACACTCCCAGGGAAACCATGAAGGAGCTCTGCACTTTGACCTTGATGTCCGACAGAGGATTGAAGAGTGAAGACTCTGTCATGAGCTCCTTGTCCAGTGGGTCCTGCAGACAGATGGGGCCACTGTACGTGCGGCTCACTGTCAGGTCTGGCTGCATGGCAGGGTTCAGGAGCAGGGAGTTTCCTGAAAAAAGAACACTGATCTGTCACTCAGACACTAAAAGACACCTCTGTTACCCTTCTAGGATTCTCCCTGCTAGCTGCAGAGCCACCCGCGTGACTGCCAGCTGCTCAGATTCGAACCAGCACACTGCTCTCTTCCTCTGGCCCTGAGCAAGCAGACTAAGCCTTGGAATCAGGATGGCCCTCCCCACCCATTTTTCTAAATGCCACGGGCCAAAATCTTCCCTTTCTGAAGTCTTTGTGCTTGATCTTTCTAAAGTAAGTATTTTTCGTACTCAGTCAGGTAGCTAACTCTGGTACTGCTCTTTATGAGGTTATTTTAACTGGCAAAGAGAAGCTAAGAAAAAAATTGTTTTGCAATTCAGTTTGGAGCAAAAATAACATCTGTTCATTTTAAATGGCAAGAGATGACACAGTGTGGTGACTAGGTAGTGCTGTTCAGAACAAAGCTTTGTTGGTTTCAGCACATTTCTTGTGGAACTGGGGGCACTTTCTGAAGCCAGGGGAGGAAGTGATGTGTCTGCAGAAGGAATGGGTCAAGGAACCTCGCGAACTGCTCCATGTCTCAGTAGCTGAGCTGCTTGAATGTCACATATCATTCTGAGAAAAAGAAAGCGCCACACTAGGATGTGAACAACTCAGATTCTATGTGGGGAGCAGTGCAGAATAATCTGCTTTCTGTCGCACAATGAATGAAAAAAATAATCTGTACAAAAAAGGAAGACATCGAACTTTGTCATCTGTTGGGGCTTACCACGGTTTTTCCCAGCCAAATATTAAAAAGAAATGCTGTGATATTTTCTTGTGATGAAGTAATCTCATTTATTAGTAAATAACAAAATAACCCTCAGTCCCAAACCTCCCACCCATATCAGTTCATCAATGTGACATCTCAAATTGAAACCCAAACCATATTAAAAAATTTTCCTTTGGGGCTGACAAAAATGCTTAAAGTATGATATTTCTGAAAATGTTGCAGTCCTAGGCCATCCTGTATTAGCCTCCATTGTGTTTCCATTTTCATAATTTGCAATGATGCCAGCAGGAAATGTACAACCTTGCCTGTTTTCACATCTTGCTTAGATGCCTTAAGTGTCCAGAGCCATAGAGAAGTCTCATAAAAGAAGAGAAGAACTAACGTTGTGGATCTAAAGGCTCCTTGACAGCTCCTGAGCTTTTCATGCCTCAGGCTTCAGGGCCAAGACACAGGCACTGTGAGCCTTTGTGCTTTCTGAAAGAACCACATGGGCTCCTATAGGTCCCGACCTTGCTCTTGTTTCAGTCTTCCAGACAAGAAGTAGGGTTGGAGAGCCATCCCATGACTGAAAAGAAGTTTCAAATTTTATCCCTAAGTCTTTTGGCTATCTGACCTCAAGCTGCAACCTTCTGAGACTTGACTTTTGCCTACTCTTAAAAGGTCCTCCTCACTATGGGAAACAAAGACACAAAAATATTTCCTATATTTCAACAGCACAGAAATGGAAAATGCCTGATTAAAGAAGGGTAGACATCTTAGAGTTGACAATTTAAGTGTAACAGTGGCTACTTTGATAGGAGTCTGATCAGGGCCAGTCACTCACCTCTGGTCTCTCAAATCTACTCTTTGGAAATCTATTTTCAAGTCCCTGGTCTACTGTAAGTATGACATTCATTCATATTCTTTCTCTGTCTGTCTGTCTGTCTGTCTGTCTGTCTGTCTGTCTCTATCTCTGTCTCCCTCCCTGCCAACTTCCCTCTCTTCTTCCCTCTCTCCCTCCCTTACTGCTGAGACGGAACCCAGGACCTCATGCATACTAAGCAATTGCTCTAGCACTAAGTTACATCCCCAAGCCATACCATTCTGTTTAACAGCCTTTCTAGTCCCTTTCCTGGGGTCCTGATATAGCACTGAAGATTGTCCCTAAACTCGAAGTCAAAGCCACCCATGACTTCTGTGAAATACAGGATCACAATGAATATACAGAGAGTAACAGTTGCCAAAGCATTTTCCCTTCTCCTTAGTTCTGTGAGATTCATGGCCAAAAATAAACAAAATGGTCTGGTAACTTGGCAAGGCAACATATTCTCTTAAAGATCACAGTGCATACAAGGTCCGAGATGTACTTCCCTAAGGAGATGCAATTAAGCTTATATAAAATAATGTCCTCCAACCTGCTGCTTGGTACCCCTGCTGCTTGGTATCCTATGCTAAGGTGAAAGGAAATTACCACCTTATAGAACTACATTCACTACAGTTATGACCACTCCTCATATGCCAACATCTTGCATCTTAGGTAAAATAACATCTTTTTATTTTAGGTAATTTCATTCTCCTAAGAACACCCTTGGATATTAGTATCCTTATTTTATAGCTATAAAACCTTGACTCCAGGATAAGTGATTAAATACCTTACACAGAAGTTTTAGACTCAAAGCTAACTGACTTGAAAGCCTGTGAACTTACAAATAATACTGTCTTTCACACTATCTAATGTAGTTCCTCCATTTTCAAGAGTTGATGGTGTCAGACAGTGACATCTTACTAGTTGATGAAAATACATCTTTAGCTTCCTATGAAGTATAAAAATAAGCTCTTCACTGGATTTATAATAAAATTAAATCACATACGATCAACTAGGTACCTGAATCCAAAATAGGCACTGGTCCTCCAGGGCAGACACCAAGGTGCCTGGGGTGAATGATCTTAGGGGAAGCTCTTGCGTTCTGCCATCTCTCAGTTGGGGGTTTCTTTTATTTGCTTGTAGGTCTGTATTTCCAATTCAGGGGCCAGTCTACTCAGCCAGTGCTAAGAACAGAGGTTTCTCTCCCTGTGCCATAGGCATTACTGACTCTCAGTAACCAGAAATGGGGGCGATATGGACATTCAAGAGCAAGGTAGCAACATCATCTCCTGAAGAGTGATGCTGTCGGCTTCTGTGGGATGAAACTCATGAATGGCTGATCCCCACGGTGCTGTCAGGAACAGATTTGGCTCCTCTAAGGGAATTAAGCGAGTCTGTGTTTTCAACATGCATACTGCTATAGCTTGGCATGATAGATGTTGCTTCCCTGTCTACATAAGATTGCTGAGACCTGGTAGCAGCTGAGAGTCACTCAGGCTGCAGCCCCTTTTTTTCTCCTGGCTCAGTGACTCTTCATATAGCTTTTAAAGTCTTTTTATTTATTTGTGATACAAGAAACCAAAATCTAGTGTAATAAATACACCTGGGAGATTGTGGCCTGGGAGTTCGTCCGCAGCCTTGAAGTCAGTATTTTAGTTAACTAAATTAAATATCTATCTTCAAGGCAGCCTTCTTAAAAGAGAAAGTAGGATAATCAGAGATAAAATAACTCATTAGGTTTACTGTACATCAAAGGTTGAGTTACCTCATTGAAAATGCTGGCGATGGGGCTGGGGAGATAGCTTGGTGGTCTAAGTGACTGCCTAGAAGCACAAGAACCCAGGTTTGACCCCTGGTGGCACATGCCATGTTGACCCTGGAACCCCAGGTGTGCCATGTGGCCACCAAAACCTGGCGTAGGGGGGCATGCCTGGAATCCCAGCACTGGGGAGGGTGAGACAGGAGGATCACTATGAGTCTGAGCTATATGGTGAGACCCTGTTCCAAATAAATAAATAAATAACTTAAAAAACTAAACAAATAAAATGCTGATGATGGTAACCTGAGATGCACTTGTCCTTATATAGCCAAGGATGTCAGCAGACCACCTGTTTGGCTTTGGTTTGTTGCATAAGAACAATTCGGTAGCGGCTCCCAGTGCCCAGAGCTACCTTCACACAGGCCCCCAAGAACTCTGAGGTCCCTGTGCAAATGTAGTCGCTGGTCCTGAGGATGAGGTGTTGGGGGACCTACGCCGCTGACCTTGACGGACTGTTTTGAAGTTGAAGGTCTGGAAGCCACCTGTCAATGCAGAGGAGTCAATGACGTCCACGCCATAGTCACTCTGGCTCCGTCTGTAAAGGGTGACTCCGATGACCAAGACTGCGACTGCGACGACTGCAGCACCTAGGCCTGAATAGAGAGCGATGTCGCTGGCATTCTCAATGCCTGGAAGACACAAGAGAGTCCCTAAGTAGCTAGCATGGGCACAGAGCCAGAGATCCACCTTGGGATACACGATGAAATGCTATTGGAGTTTTGAAGCTATCATTCATAGAAAATGATATATGTAGCTAGCCATGAGTTGTTCTTGCATTCACACAATAATCCTGTTTTTCAAATGCCTTATATAAATCAAAATGATGCTAGTCAAATACGTTAACTGCATTAAGGTAGCTTACCATGTAATAGACTCTTGCAGAGAATCAATTTTGTAAAGAGCATAATATTTTTCTAGCAAAAACAGACAACTCCCTCATATACATATTTTAAGAAGTCATTTACCTTTAAAGTCTATTTTATATTTTACTTTCACTGAAAGAGGACAGGCTCACACAAATGACAAATAAAGTGGAACGGCTCTGCTGCTTGGTGATGACTGGGGCACATGCATTTGCAGACAGTGGTGTAGGGCAAGAAGTTAACCCATGGTTGTATGAGTTGGGAGAAGACCAGAGTTCACAAATAGGAATTTAGCTTTGACACAAGTCATTCAGATTGAGTTCAGGGTGTATGCAATCACTGTCAGACAGTGTTCATTGTGGGTGATGAAGGTCTTGGTCCCAGGGGCTCTTATGTCCATGGTAATTACTTTCTGGCCACAATTAGATACTAGACTCCAACACTCTAATGTGGGGAGGACTGGTCTCTCAGAGGGTACATGCTGATTCTCCCATACCTCTCCTACTCCATCCTATTGAATGCATGGGCAAAGCAAAAATAAAAGCGTTAGTTTGAATTTAGAATGTAGGTGTCTCCCCACGCCCAGGATGTGCTATAGCTGCTTCTTAACTCTTTGCCAGATGTGCAGCAGGCTTGCTTTATCCCTGCAGCCAATTCATAATGTCTAATGCATTTCAGCCTAGAGGATTTATCTGACAAAATGTAACCCTAAAAGAGGTGTAATCTTAGAAAGTGTGTGGAAATGGAAGGTGGCAAGAGCTAACTACATAATTAATCTTCCTGCAGATTATGTGGTAAGTTCATTTAATGGGTCCAAAAGTAATTACAATGTTGCCCTGTGTTAGGCTGAGAGGATAAAATAAACCCATCATATATTTACATTGTAATTGCATGGCATTTAAACTATGCATTCACCGCACCCTAATATGGTACTTATGTTATCAAATAAGTAATACTAACCACACAAGTAAAGTGAATTTATTTTCAACAAAGTTAGTGGACTGTAAAATAGAGTGCTACCAAATTAAAGGGTGAACAAGGAAACCAAGCAGAACCAGTTTAGTAATAGAGCAGTAAACATATAAATAAAGCACAAGAGAAAGCACAGACACCCAAAAGAAGAGTTTCTGAAAGGTCAGAGGTTGATTAGATGCGTTCAATAACCACAGCACATGGTGAGACTCATTCAGGCCTTGGTTCTAACTTCATGATCATCCAGATGACAGAGGAATGGGGCTGGTGACTAGTACTGCGGCCACCAGAGCCATGGGCATGCTCACCAATACTCAGCCCAGAATTCCTGGCTGTCCATGTGCTTGGGAGGGGTGAGGAGGGCAGTCATTGAGTTACTTATGTTCCTGCCCTCCCTCTACTTGGTTAAGTTCCTGGGAGAGGATAGTAAAACCCAGGGCAAAGAGGACACAGAGCATAGCAGATACATCATGCTTGGGCAGCAGGCGTGAGGGGTTGGATTTGGACTCATTACCTTCTTCCTTCCTTCCCTCCAGTTTCTCAGCACCATGACTGATGATACTACTATCCTAAAAGGCATATCTAGGGAGAAATACCTGCTTAGGAAACCAGCATGAACAGAAAAACAGCCTGTAGTGTACTGAGCACAGATGTTCTGATGCTGAGCTTGCAAGGCAAAGACAGAGACACCCTTAGATTCCAGACACTAAACTGTGATGGACCAGAAGCCAGCAGGATGGCCAAGTCAAAAAACCTACCCTCAGATAAATAGCACTGGGCAGGAATCTAACAAGTCCAATAGACGAGCGGGCACCTGCTATCCTTGTTCCTCTGGATTCCCTCTTTGTCCTTGCGTGTCCACTTTGTACTCAAGTAACTGGAATTTTCTCTGTCCAGAAATACCATTTTAAGCAAAGAATTCTACTTATCATTTCAGACCCAGCTATAATTTTTGATATGGCTCAGTATTTTCTTCTCCTAGGAAAAATTAAAGAATCCATTTGACTTAAGTTAAGAGAATGAAGTACATATTTATATAACCTTACAAATGAACAGAGATACTTTGGGATTAAAGTGGGGAAAGAAGAGGAAAAAGACCAAATGGGGCACTGGCTCTCCCTTAGGCGCACTCCAACCCTGGTAGAGCTAGGAATCAGGAACAGAGTGTACGAGAGAAAGGAAAGGGAAACTGGTAATGACTTTCTTAGAACAGTTTGTCTTGGGAATTCCAAACCTAAGCAGAGAATTATGATTTCATTAATTCAATGAACATTTTTGAGGACCACACATGTAAAAGAAATGAGGGTGCATGGAAGAAGTCACCAAGGATGACATCATCAGCCCTTTATCCTCTAAAGGACAGACAGTGCCAAGGCTCTGGTGCTCCAGAAGCAGCTGCAGAGGTCAATACAAATGCCCAAACCCATAGTTTATATCTCAAGAGATTTAACCAGACATCCTTACCCACAGAGAAAATTCTTCTAAAGGTGAATCACTGGGTTGCTTTCTTCTTTCTCTTCTTTTTTCTTTCTTCTTTTCTCTACCTGCTTATACTTCACCTCATTCCTTTTTCTTTATTTTTCCCTCCATCTTGTTGTTTTCTAAGCTTTTTTCTAAGAGCACGGAGTGGCTTTCCTCGTGAGAATTTCTATGTTTTCACAAAAGTTAAAGTAAGTCTCATCTGTGTGTTCAGATTTGACTCCAGGAGGCCCTGAGGTATAGCTCCATGTTTTCTATGCTGATTTCCTGGGTGAAGGGAGAAGGTGTGTGTGTGTGTGTGTGTGTGTGTGTGTGTGTGTGTGCATACATGACCACAGGCACACTACGACAGCATTGGCAGCATTGTCACACGCATGTGCCTGTGTGTGCAAGCACACGCTTGGCTCTGGTCAGCATACTGGGCTGCCTGACAAAAACCACTGCCATTCATGCCCAGGAGCATTACTGCAGTAACATAACTGCAGCAACGTAACTGCAGGGCACAGCCACTTCCCTGGGCTTCAGGGCTTTCTTCATATCCTCTTCTGCACTCTGACCTCAGCCTGTGGCTGCACTGTCACCCCAAATTCAACTGTGATCCATTCATCTGCTAGATGGGTGCCTGGCTACAAAAGGAGATGAAAAGGGGTCAGTGTGACCTGCCTTCTGCACCCTGCTAGGCATCCAAGTCCTGTCAGGGTCTCCCTGTCTGTCAGGAGCCAGTCCACAGTCCCTCTCTTTCATGGTGACTGTCTCAACCAGTCCAGCCAGTACCACCGATCTGTGGGACTTGGAAATCTTGTAGACACTGCTTGGAGTTGTACCATCTTATTTTGGATCACACTTTTTACTACTAATTATTGGCATGACAGTAAGTCAGTTTGTTCTCCCTAACCGCTTTCAACTCTTGGTAAGCAGTACTAGCTCTATAATTTCCTACAGAACATTCCAATCATTGTGGACAAGTATTTATTGACTGCCTGACTGGCCTCCAACTGTGAGGAGAGAAATTTTAAAGAAACTACAATCTTCACTTTATTTTAGATGCTGCCATGCTCCAAGAGTTCCCTTTTCATTTCCATTTGTACACTAGGGGTATCACTATCTGTTCCCCTCCCAGTAGTGTTACTGGCTTATTTGCTTGAAGTGGTTTGGAACAAAAGCACCAAAAGAGAAAGCTGTTCTTTTTTTAGGTATAGGATACCTTACTCTGACTTTATTTCACAAGCAGGGCTTTCTGTGTCAATATGTTATTGATGTATTTCCTGCCTTCTTCCTGTCTATTTTCCTCTATTCAAGAACTACAAAAGCTTAAGCCAAAGCTTTGAAGGATTCCACATGTGGCTGTTGTATATAATCCATAGGTATAAACAAAATGAGCTAAAAAAAAAAACCAAAAGAAACAATTGAAAAATCTCTTGTTAAAAAAAAAAAGAAAGAAAGAAAAGAAAAATCTCTTGTATTCCAAATTACTCAGCAGCTACTGAGGAATGTGCTCCCTGCTGGGCCGAGTGCAGACCACACAGAGAAAAAGGCTGCAAAGATGAACAGAGAACTGGAAACTGGGACCCCAGGGAGAAAATGGTTATGGATTCGTTTGGCCTGGAAATAGCGTTGTAAAGTAACTTCTTGGTAATCTGAATGCATAATGGGTTGTTATAAGAACAGAATAGAACCACAGTAGTTATTCAATGACCATTTATTTATAAGGAAGCTAGTAACCAACACGTTGCCATCTTTAACAAGGACTGCAAAGGAGGACATGCCCTTTTATTATATCAGTTGGGGCTCTAGGTAGATATTAAAATGACCTTTCCCACAATGAGGGTTGTTTAAAAAAAAAAACCAACTATGTGACTGAGGGACACTGTGCAATCTCATTCCAGAAGCTCTTGAAAAACCACCATGATTTTATAATGATTTTCAATCATTGTATTTTAATGTTTTGGTCAGAGTTGGTAAGAAGGACAAAATGACCTTTCCAAACCCCTCTGAATTAATTTCACAGTTCCAGAAATAGATATTAACAAGTTCTATGGCTTTATGAATTATAATCATCTCCAGTCATTTATAATAACCAGGGTCCCCACAAGATTCCAGAAAAGGGCTGTTTACCTGATTTGCCTTCCTCAAGTTACATGACTCCCATGTGCAAGACATGTTACTGCCTCTTCCTAATGGAACTTTAACTCAATTCCCATGTTAGGAATTTAACATGGATGAGACTGAAATTTATTTTGCAGGACTCATAAAAGCTATAAAGAATTAACAAAGGAGTGTAGTGAGTACATTGAAAGCATTATGCTTTATCGCCT